CTGATCTGGTCACAGCTGCCACGGGGACCCGCCAGCAGCCTGTGTCTGCCCTGCTCCCCAATCTAGGAGAAGAAACTTCCTGGACCTGGTGCTTGGTCAGGGGCTCTGTTTTCCAAAAGGGACTTTGCATGAATGAGACACTAATCTCCCGAAGGCTAAAGGGGTGGGGGTGGGGTCTTTACCCTTAATTAGCACCTCAGGGAAGGCTCCTGTTTCCCTTGAATTCTCCGTTATGGACATCCCCACCCCCAAGCACACACACCGATTTCAGAGGCACCAGGCGGTCTTGGGTGAGGCATTGCTCCCGTCCTGGGCTCCCTGGGGGGCGAACGCGGGAACTCACTGGCAGTAGCCCTTAGTGTGTCTGGATCTGGAGACCCCAGGCATCTGATATCATCCAACCAGGGCCTTGGGTCCTATGGGAGGCTGGGTGTGGTGGAAAATGTGCTGAGAGGGGGAAGAGAAAAGGCAAGACTGAGAAGGTTGGGGCAGTTTTTGCACACCTCCTGTTTCGAGAAGTCCAAGCCCTGCACAGGACTGGTGCTTAGCCTTTAGGGTGTTAGGTCTTCTTCAGATGAACCCCTTCCTGTCTTTACCCTGCTGGCTCCATTGGCTGGTTGATGAGTGGGCTTCCTGAGTCCTGAGGGACACCAAGGGAAAAAGGGCACTAGGATGAGGCATGGTCTTCCAGGAAGCCCAGTCTGCCCAGAAGCGAGCAGAGAGGCACACCTTTTCCTCCAGAAAGGACAGCATTCTATGCAGAACACATAGAGCAAATGTTTTCACCAGCAATGCTCTAGGGTTAAATGTCTGTGCACCCCCAGCGCTGATGGTAGGTGAGAAGCAAATGGGAAGCGGAATGGCACACTTAGGCACGCCTTTTATGTGTGGTCTTAGGTAAGTTTCCCCATCTGTAAAAGTGAGGGTTGGACATGATGGTCTTTGGGCCACCTGATGGCCTGTGAAACTTTCAAAGGAAGGTGTCTTAAACAGGAATCCATAGACTAGCCTTTGAGTGGGCTTCAAGGCATCTGCAAGCCCCTTAAAACTGCGTGTACAGCAGTGTGTGTGTGTGTGTGTGTGTGTGTGTGTGTGTGTGTGTGTGTGTGTGTGTTAGAGAGAAAGAGACTGCACAAGAGGGTGTCCGCAGCCTTCAGTCTTAAGATATTCTCAGGGGGATGCACGACCCCCAAAATAGCCAGAGGGCATGGGGTGGGAGCTGGAGGGGGTGGGGACTGGAAACTAATGTATACTTTCAGGAGGCTGAAAGCTTTTGAAATAGAAGTGGCTGGGGGAAGAGAGAGTTAACTGGCGGCCATCAGCTGCCACATCGACAAAGCCTGGAGCTAAGGGAGGGGGAGGGGGAGGGGGGCGCAGAGAGGGAATCAACTTTTGAAACTTTTTCCAAGTCCCACCCACTGAAAGCTCTTCTTTGCCTGACTCACTCTAGGAGGAATGCGAGTTGCCACGGTAACCTTTTTTCAGGGTCTCTGCCTGCTGGTTGGGAGGGGATGCTGGGAGCACTCAAACGTACATCAGGCTCAGTCTGAATGTCCCCCACTGCGCTGCATCCCCAAATGCTAAAATATCAGCCTGCAGGCCCTGCCCTACTGATCTCCCAGGGTCCCAGGGCAGCTGTGGGGCCGTGACAGGCTCCCAGACAGGGCACTGAAGGCCTGAATTTCAGTTCCACCTTTGCTCCAAAGATGCCATTGGACCTTGAACTAATAGCTTCTCCTCTCTGTGCCCCTGCTCCCTCCTTGGTTAAAAAGCAGTAACAGCAGGCACCTGAAAGGGAAATTATGTGGGCGAAACAGGGTGAGGCGCAGGGAAGCACTTGCTAAGATGTGGCCCTCCCACCTAATGCAAGAGTTTTTAGAACGGATGGATTTATGGCATCCGTAGAGTTGGTGAAATCATTCCCAGCTTTTTCCTTTGGCAGCTCTGTCATCTTAGGGGTTGTATATAACTTCCCTTTACTAAAAGTGCTAACAGGCATATTAAAAATAATATTGTTTAAATTCGTTTTGATTTGGGTCTCTTCTTGAGTATTTCCCAAGAATGTTGTATCCCCCAGTGTTGACAGAACATCAGTCCAGGCACCCGCAGGGGTGGGTCCTAATAACGAGTGTCAATGACAAAGACCCTTCCCCTCTCCTGGCCTCAGTCAGTTTTCCAATCTGTTAAATGGGGAATCTGGCCTAGATGATCTCCAGTGACCCTTCCTGCTCTGAAGTCCTGCAAACCTAAATTCCAGATGCTGCCTTCATTAGAAGGAATAGATGGCCTACATTTTTAAACACCCCCCCCCCCCCACACCGCCCTCGTTCCCATGGTTGAAAGGAAACAAGAGAGGAGGGGCCATAGGATGCTAGTTTTCATAACAGTCCTGCTAAAATCTTTATCCATCTGCGGAGACTTGTCAGCCAGTACTATGGCTGTGGTTTGCTATTCACAAGAGCAGCTTTTCTTGCTGAAAATGTTATAAATAGGAAAGGATGGTGGAGGAAAGGAAAGAGCTGAGGATGCAACATAAACAGGAGAATGCTTGTCTTGGGGTGTTAGATAGGTAGCTCAGTGTGCAAAGGTAAACAGGAACGGACACAAACCCATGCAGAGTATACACTTTGATTTCACCGATAGGCACCTCCTGGCACAGCTAAAAAGTAATGCCTCCGTCAGTACGCGAGCAGACCCAGCGGCCACACACTCACATACCTGAGACCTTGACTCACAGACAAGTTCCAGGTAAACATCTTGATGCATACGCACAGCCTGCCCCTCGCCTGTACAGGCTGAAGCCGACAGATGCCGTCAGGCGGGCGCACACAGGCACACATGCACCGCTTCGCACGGAGGCCCCGGGCCACAGGTAACTTCTGCAGACACCCTGTCAGGCGTGCAGACACAACTGCCGTTTGCAGCCACATACGGCTGTGCACAGCCAGACGCAGCTGTAGGTCATGATGGAAAGACAGACACGTTACATACAGACATACAGCACCGGAACCAGACCACCGCTATAGTCTACAGACAGAGAAATTGAGACTCAGGAAGGGAAAATAACTTGTTCAAGGTCACACAGCGAACGGATGTCTGAGCCAAACTTCCAGGTGTTTGGAAATATCCAGATGTTCACCTTGTGTTTTTTTATTTGTTTTTCATCTGATCAGTCTGTTATCACGGTTACACACCTCCCTCTATAGGCAACGAGCCCCGTGGATAGTATATAATGAGCAGTACTTTCTCCATTGCTGACCTGCAGTGGCCTATCCCAGCCCACAGGGCTTCGTCACTGGGGCAGCATGACCGACGGACGTGGCTAATAGGTGGCTGCTCATTTGCTTCCTGCTGACTCCCTCCCCAACCTCTGTCTTTAAAGGAGGGAAGGGAAGGCTGGAGCTGAGTTTTCGGCTCACCCTGGGGATTAATGAAACTACCCTTTCTCTGTAGCACAAAGCCTGTCTCCCAACCTGTCCTGAGCTCAGGGACAGCTGGGCCGAGCAGGGCCAGAGTCAGCATGCAGCGACTTGACAAAATTATTTAGAAACCAGCTGCCTTTTCATCCAGGAGATGTCTTAGGAAATTAACTCTGCCTTCACTCCTTAAGCCATACAGCTTGATGTCTGTAGGGAAAGTATGAATTGTCTCCAGAGCTGGGTTCTTTCAGAAACTTGGTATTAACCTATCTCTTCAGGGGATCTCTCTGAGTCACCTTGTGTTAGTCATGACATTAGATTCCAGATTGATCAGATAAAAAAAAGAAACAGAACAAGGTTAACATCTGGAAGTTTAGCTCAGCCACCCGCTTGCTGTATGACCTTGAGTGAGTTGTTTTCCCTCTCTGATCCTCAGTTTCTCTGTTTCTAAAATCAGAAGCATGGCCAAGAGGTTTCACATGGCTTGTGAAATTCACAATCCATTGGTAGTGTCTGCCAGGAGAACTGTCCAGGATTCAGATGCCGCTCTGGACTGTAGGGGAAAGGTCATAAAATTGATTGTAATGTCTGCCACACGCACAGGAGGAGAGGTGGAGGCACATATGCCACGTATCTGCCATCTTTGGGATGTGACAGACTGGACACTTGGATATCATTCCTCCTCCCCTCCTATTGTGGTCACACAGATACAGCAGGGGCCCCTAGGGGGCGCCAAGGAGGAGAGCCTGAAGCTCCACCCCGGGGGCCTCTCCCAACCTCAGTGAAACGTGGCATCTTAGATGCCTTTACAGGATCTAAGTCAGACTGATTTCCAGTCTCAAACTCTGGGGCTATTTCTGAGTTGCCCCAGAACCTCTTCGATTCTAGGCTTGTGCACCCATAACACCCTAAACTTTTTCCTTGGCTTTTTCCCTTCCAGCAAGAAATATTAGGAGGGAAAGTGGAGAGTCAAGGGGCAAGTTGGGAGAGGTGATACTCCCAACCGTCTGCCTGCATTGACTCAGAACATCAGGAATAAAAGGAACCTTAGGGACACCTTGCCCCAGGGTTTTCAAATTGTGTTCATGGGCACCCAGAGGTGCTCTGAGGCATCTTAGGAGTGTTCGAGTATGTAGGACTTCCAGCCCTGTCTCCACTTTTACCTGTGTTTGTTTTCT